AGTATCACCATCATCACCGAACACCAAAAAAAAAAAACATTGTAGTTGTCATCAGTCAATGTCACCAGCATCAAAACATGCACAAGAAATACGGATTTCCTCGGAATGTTTGGAAAACGGAATATCATTTGTAGGATATTGAAGTCGACAGGGAAAAAGCCTTGACGAACTTTCATTGTTACGAATGTTGGGAAATTGCCAAAATGGGTAAAATGTGGGATACGAGAGGCTGAAAGGAGAACTGTGAGTTGGGGGGGTTGATTGTTGTGCTGTGTGTTGGCTGTTGTTGGCTGTTGCTAATTTTTGCGTTTGGCGTCCTCTATATTTTCTCCCTTTCGACGATTAATTTTTTTATTTTTTCTTTCATATTTTATTTTTTTTTTTATTCCTATCTGTGATTCTTTTTCCTACAAATATCTATTTTTTGAGGGTTTATTGGCTGCTGCCTATTTTTAATAAAATTACATTTCAAGAAGCAGAAAGGGCAGTAGATGAGGGAGAGAAGAAAAACTGCTGAAAAAGAGGGGGACAAACGGAAGGAAAGGTTTTCTGTGGTGTTTACAATAATGATGGAATTTTTGCTGAAATGTTTATCTTTATTAATTGGAGAGAAAAAATGTTGGAGGAAACGGCTTATGAAGTAACTGAATTCAAATTTCAATTTTTTCTTGCAGTCTACGCACTTTTCTGATTTATTTATTCGTTTTTTAGGCTTTTTTTTCATATTTGATATTTTTTTTCATTATGATATTGTTTGTTCTTTTTTTGTGATTTTTGTGGTCAGTGCCATTGAAGCGACAACGTCTGTTGTTATTTATAAAATATTGTCATTGATATCCGTTTCAGTTGTCAGTGTCATTAATTGTATCGAGACTATAATTATTATTGATTGTAGATTACTCGTTTACAATGACTACTTTTGTAGCGTTTTACGAAATTAAATCAGTAGTGGCAATTGATGTACAAATAATTGGTTAAAGGAATTCAGTTCTTTATTGTCTGATATTACTGTCATCCATGTATCTTTTTTAGCCACCTTCTAAAATCTCTTAGTATTGTGTTTTGTTTATCACATAAGTGTTTATCTAGGTGAATTAGTTCCTTTTTTGTTGTTTATTGCTTTTTTATTTTTATTTTTCTCTTTCTTCTAGCTCATTTTACTTTTTT